TCCGTGACAATAAGTGTGAATGTTGAGGAGAGCGCGACAAAGTCCCGCGCGCACCACAATATGCGCTCAATGTAGCATAGATACCAAACTAAATGTTTCTGGAGCTTGATTCCACTCAAGGATGATGGGAGCAACTACATGCGCATCTCTCCCTACAAAGCCCGGAGGCACACTGAGTCAGACCTCACAAAAACACTATATTTGTAGTGCTGGACAGCAAATTATCTCCTATCTATTACTGAAAGAACTCCCCACACCCGCCTCCCTTTCATGAAGTATCGTGTAGGTAAAAATCAACGTACAGAGATGGTAGTGGTACCGTTGGATAGGCCAGAAGGTCAGCTTTAAGATGAGACTAAACACGTAACTGCAGCACAACTCAAGTAGACACTATATTTAAAGAGCTCAGCAGCTAATTAGTTCCTATCTAATTACTTAAAGAACTCCCCCACCTGCCCCCCTTTCATGAAATGTCGTGAAATCATAAATCAACGTAGAGAGATGGCAGTGGTATTGTTGGATAGGGCAGAATGTCAGCTTTAAGGTGAGACTAAAAACCGGAAAAGCCAAAATTGTCGATTTTGGACCCAGACGCTCCCCTTAAGGCTAACAGTAACGGCTAACTAAAGTCTACGTACAAGTGTACGACTTAAGAGTTAAGCCAAGGCCCAAAGGGGAGTGTCCGACAGACGACAGTCTGAGTGTGCCGATCAAAAATTGAAAATTTCGGCTTTTATTTTTCCTGTTTCATAATTCAAAGGTCAAAATACTACGCATTTCAAGACCAAATTACCTAATGTTTGTGCGTTCATTAGTTCGTTCACGATAGGCTTTTCAGTTTTCACTAGTTTCCAGAGGGCAGAGGAGTGTGGACAAAATCTAAACCTTTAATAAAGAGGCTTTAATGGTCACATGGTTTCGGTTTTTGGGCTCTCCAGAAAACTTGCAATTTTCTGATTGCTAACATATATCCTCAGCCTACAGCCTACTTTGATTTCCGAGCTACAATAGGCCTATTGAGATTGAGTCATTGAGAGAACAGAGAGATTAACCATTTGATTTGTAAGAAAAACCTCTAGAGATCATCCAGTCATTTTTTATTTATTTTTTTTTTAACCATAGGGTAAACGCGGTATATTCCGACACATTAAGGACGCATCGAGAAATGAAAAACTATGAAAAAAACCGTATGCGTTACGTAAGTTCTGTTGCCTTCACATGACTCTCAAAACACTTCACTACGCGTCAGCAATGATGAAACGTCACAAAATGTTGCCATATTTATTAATAAGCCTTTAGAATGGAAACCTACCAAATCCCTATATTCCATCACTTTGTATGGCAATATTCGACACGTGGTGAGTTGTATTGCGTCAGCGCTTCAAATTTAACTGATACGTATTGCCGACATCCACGTGTTCGAATTCCGTTTGCTGTGTGAGCTGTATTGGGATACAACACGGCTTTGAATTAGAACACTAACGAATATTGAACACTACTTAATTACGTTTTAATTAACAGCTATCAGGCTTTTAATTAAGCAAATTTCAATTTTTGTACAAAGCTTTGAACGATCTGTGTGTGTCCAATTCAAGTTGTGTCGGAATTAGTTTCATGTGTCTAAATCCAACATCTCAACTTAATCATCTATTAATTTATTTATGACTTGAAATCAGCGAATACAAGTATACTTAAAGGATTCCTAATGTAGGGTAAACGCGGTATATTCCGACATTGTAGGTAATTCCGTCACCTCTCCAGCTTTTCCTTTATATTAAGCTTTGTTTTAGTTCAATGCGTTCCTTGATGGTTGAAATGGTGACGTCATACATTTGCGTGTCAAAATACTGCAAAAACACTAGGTCTTGGCCATCTAGTGGGAAAATATTGAGATCCAAAGAGAGACAATGCATGCCACGTGGTGAGATCATCGAAAAATGTGTCAAATTTGACAGTTGACATGGCTCTACCAAATAGTGAACAACTGTTTTTATAGGAAGAATATTATGGTTTGAGACTTTTAAATACGTCTGTGAATATATTAGGAATCCTTTAAGTATACTTGTATTTGCTGATTTCAAGTCGTAAATAAATTAATAGATGTGTAAGTTGAGATGTTGGATTTCGACACATGAAAACTAATTCCGACACAACTTGAATTGGACACACACAGATCGTTCAAAGCCTGTCTCTTATACACATCTAGATGTGTATAAGAGACAGGTCACCATTTCAACCATCAACAAACGCATGGAACTAAAACAAAGCTTAATATAAAGGAAAAGCTGGAGAGGTGACGGAATTACCTACGATGTCGGAATATACCGCGTTTACCCTATATTAAAAAATATAACTCAGTACTCACAGCGACAGCAGTGAGTGATGGAGAGCACATACCTAATGCTGCACATTTTCTCGTCGACAAAAACTTGAGGTCACGGACGGACAGACAGACGGACATGGCGAGCACAAAAGTGCATTTTTTCCATAAATGAGAAAATGCGCTAAGAAGAGGAGGGGGTCAAAATTGAAAAATATCACAAAAAATTTGAAAATTACCAAATGATCTTTAGATATTGCTTTATGCATTGGATGATAGCTGCTACTGCTGTGTCTCTAGATGCTTTAGCTTGAAAATCCCTGGAGGAGATCCAATACCCCATTTTTTGCAATTTTCTATGAACTTCACATTTCTTTCATTTTTTAAATTTACATGAATAAACAAGTCATTGATTTCTATTAGACTATTTTAGGCAAGAAGGTACTGGCTTTCTTGATTAAAAATAAATAAATATATATATATATATACCGTCAACCGGGGTAATTCGGGACGATTTTGAGTGTTTTTTGTTAATAACTTCTTACGATGAAACATTTCATAAACAAGTTTAGGCTCATTTTTATACTACATAGATAGGAAAAATGTTGACGTTTACGCCACTATTTTTAGTTTTGCAATATTCCAATTAGTTTTGCTACTATAACAGTTTTACGCCGTGTCGGAGGACTGTCCCGAATTACCCCGCCAGTCCCGAGTTACCCCGGTTGACGGTATATCTTGTCTTCTGGTCTTCAACAAAACCTGCATTAAAGAACAGCTTCTGCCAAACTACACCAATATATCTCTTGTTTGCACAATTGCACTGCACATATTACTGTGATATATTACTGATTTCATAGTAAGAACTGATAGCAAGTCATTAGTCATTGGTGTGCCATGGCAATGCTAGCTGAGCCTCGAATGAAGGGACGTCACATTCGGGCAAAACGGGAGGCAACTCTCCACACTAACAAAATGTTACAAACACAACTCACAATAGAAGGTATGTCACTACTTATGTTTCATTATATGAATTGTAAAAAAAGTAGAGTATAGAATTTATGAATGTACTTGATTCTTGTTTGATTTTTATAAATGTAAATTCTTTAATGATTCTTATTAACAGATATGTACAAATTCTCAGATTTTTCTGAACCATAATATTTGCTCCTAGGCACCACCATTCATTTTTAGTTTTCAAATGTAAACTAAACATTCATTTGTTTTTAGATGCTGATTATACTACTGGGCTTGGAATGGCCAAAAAACTCATGGAAAATCTTGGATGGAAAGAAGGTCAGGGACTAGGTGCCTCTAACCAAGGACTTCCAGAACCAATCAAAGTCCATCAAAATTGTGAGAGCCGAGGTGAGTCTGTTTTATTTCAGTCTTTCCAACAATATTCAAACTTGGAAAAAATAACCTTAATTGAGAAAGTATTAGGCCTCATTGTTTTTAGATAGGCACTTTAGCAATTTTTATCCAGAAAGGCTCTATTTTATTTATTTATTTTCTAATTCACCACTAGCAAACATTTTTCAATGAGCACACAGGTTTCTCAATGAATTGTGTGAGGCAGCACACAGGTGTCTTGATGAATTGTGTGAGGCAGCACACAGGTTTCTTAATGAATTGTGTGCTTGTGATTTTTGTGAGGCAGCCTGCAATTATTTTAGCACTGCACACATACTATCATCAACAAATTCTATGTGGTTTAATTTTTCAGTGCCACTTCTTGTTTCTTGAACATGAACTCTAACCATTTGAGTTTCACATCTGCCGTGCATAATGTTAACTTTCTGCATCAAAGGTAGCATAGGCTCTTTGACTCGTTGGCAGTTTATGTATGTCTGCATAATGTCTCCCATCAGCACAAACATTTTACTTGAGAACAATTTGAATGGATGTAGTGCCTTATTTTTAAAATATTGACATAGGTATGTTCAAAAGCTCAGACATTGTTGTTATGCTGGTCAAAATGCAGCTACAATTTTTACATCTGGCAACCTTGTTCCTTGAAATACCAGAGTGAGTGAATTTTAAGACTTTTATTCATTTCATAAATATCCTAGCCACATGGCAAGATATTCTGGTTAAAAATTACATAATAATTGAAAGGCAATCACTTTTACACAAATAAAAATTCTTTTAGAAAACATTTAGACAAAGCCACAAAAAGTTTGATTCACTAGAGAGAGGAAAATGTAGGTAAGTTGACTTGTAAAGTATAAATGTAGACTTTGAACACTTTAACCACAGCTAAAACTTATGGCTAATTTAATTTTCCAGTTCTTAGGTCTACAGTCTGTCCAGGAAATGCAGCATGTTTCAAAACTTTCAAAACTGCATATCGTCCCTGACTTTCAAAAATTATTCATAATTTCAAAGAGGATATTTATTACATATAGGTATTCAGGGGTTTGACAAAATAGGGGGAAACACCTAAGAAATCCATAAAATATATTTCAGTGTAGTGTAGGTTTGCCTTTGCAGAAATTACAGCCTCAATTCTGCGAGGTATTGATTCATACAAATTGCAAATTGTTTCTAAAAAAATTTTAACCCATACGGTACTTCAGTTAAAACTCCCTCCAGCTCTTTTAAAGATGATGGTGGCTAGAATCAACTCCTTACATTTATCTTTAAAATTGACCATCAATGCTCAATAATATTCAGGTCTGGTAATTGTGGTGGTAAAACGAGATGCTCATTTTCAGTGGAATGTTCTTTGTGCCATTATTTAACAATTAATGCTTTATTGATCGGGGCATTATCATCTTGAATGATGGTGTTCCTCTCCAGAAACAGTGCTTTTGGACCATTGTATGAACTTGGTCCTCCAAAATTCCTAAATAATCACGACTGTTGATTCCTCCATGAAGAGAAATCATTGGTCCGTCGGATTTCCAGGAAATAGCATCCCAGATCACCACAGATCCTCCGCCATGTTTTATGGTTGGGAGGAGGCAGCCCGGATTAAATGACTCTTTGGCTGTTTATGAACATAAACTCGGCCAGAGGTTGGAAATAAGTTGAACAATGACTTGTCAGAGGCAATAACATTTTTCCACTGTTTGAGGGACCAATTCTGTAGGGTTTTGCACCACTCTAAATGCTTTGAAGCATTTGAATTTGAAACCAGAGGTTTTCTAATTGCAGCTCTCCCATAGAATCCAGATCTGTGCAGCTCTTGGTGGTCAGATTTTATGGAAACTGGGTTCAGTAGATGTCCATTGAGGTCTGCAGTAATTCAACAGCTGTGGTCTTTCGATAGTCCCTCACAATTCGATTTAGGTACCAACGTTCTCTCTCAGGAAATTTCTACTTTCGGCCTGACGTTTTTCCTTTCGGCCAGACATTTCCTTCTCTTTCAGAAGCAGTCATTACTTTTGAGACAGTACCTCTGGAAACGTCAAGCATTTAAGAAGTTTCTGTCACACTAGCACCTGCCATATGGGCACCAACAATTTGGCCTTGTTGAAAGTCAGAGAGGTTTGCCATTCATGGGTTATTGGTTGGGTTACAGACTCAAAAATGTACTGAAAATATCTGTGCAAGGATAAAATATCAATTAGCAGCAACAATAAAACATGAAAATATGTCACGTTTTCGTTGTTTAAATTACGACATCAAAATTTCAGGCATTTCCCTTATTTGTCCAACCCCTGTATGTAAATACCTAATGTCAACATTCATTTTACTGTATTTTTTCAGCAGATGAATTTCATTTACATTACAGGTGTGGGCTATTCAGCAAAGCGTGGAGTCGAACAAGAGCATCATGCTGCACATTATGAGAGGTTTGAGAGCGTCCTTGCTTTCCTTTCTGCTGCAAACCGGAAGAAAAAACAGAAAGATGATAGAGAAAGCAAAAAAAGAAGCCTAAGTGTCCATGATGGTAGTGACGAAAGTAGTGAGAATCAAAGTGAAAGACACAACACCGGATCAGAACCATCAGATGGGGAAACACAAACCAAACCCAAAAGAGAGCGTAATCGTCTCGAGTGAGTTTATTGCTTATTGATAACTCATAATGATATATCATTAACTTTAGTTTGGGCTGCCTGTTACACCACGTGTGTAGTGGCGTACAACCATACATTTCTATTTCAACTGTAATACGTTCTTTTTATATTGCCATTAAATAAACCTTGTAGAAATATTTGTCAGAAATCATTATATTTCAGAGCTAGTGAAGTTTCAAGCTTGAAAATATTTTATCCCTGAAGTAATGTCTCAACATGCAAACGACTTGAAAACAATATTTACATATATATACAACGCTGATTTGAAAAAACTAAGTTGATTAGACGAAACAATGTTTAAAACAATGTTTATGATATGTAACATCACTGGAGGGATTGGTCTTGTAGTACTTTATCATTTCAATTAAAGAATTAAAAGCAAAGAAAATAGACGAAAAAAGTCTATTGTATGTAACCAGCTTGTCCTACTGCAGGTACCACAAGAGGACGCGAGCTAAGGATGTCAGCAATTACTCTCGCAATGACCTGGACTGCGTTCTCGGGGCCAAAGCCCACGCCCTCTACTCCAACATTGTCAAAGAAAACGAATTAGAAACGGCCGATAAATTTCCAGTCTCACAGCTCAGCACAACGGTATTTACTTAACGCATTTCTATGTGCCATAACCCGCTGTCAAAGGATACATTATCCATTGAAGGGCAGATACCTTTAGCTATTCTATTTGTTGATTTCTGAGTTTCAATTGTTTCAAATAACATAAGTAAAATGTATTACCATAGTAGTTGTTGAATATTTATCGTTATCTTGTGTTGCAAAATATGGTACATGAGATGTATCAATGTTATATGGCAGCTCCTTGATTTTAAATTTATCAAATTTTCAAATGATTAGCATGCCTAATGGCGTCTCTTTATTAGGACTACTTCACTGGACTCCAAGAATCTAAGTCCAGTTTTGCTATTGATGAAGAAGCCGAGGAAGATGTGGACACCTCACCCGTCTTTGCAGCTCAAATTGACGCGGAAAATTCCATGAACAACGAAGAACAGAAACCGGATGACGTCATCCAAAAATGTTTTGAAGACAGAATGGCTAGTAACTACGCCAACTCTTTCGTCAAGTCGGAAGACGTACCGACATCTGGTATTGAGGAATCTTCGGTCGACACCGCGGCTAGCGAGGATGTAAAATGCAAAGCCAAGAAGAAAAAGAAGAAAAAATCCAAGAAATGTAATGATGCAGATCTGCCTTGCTCAACGGACATTCTTGAACATGATAAAGAAAATTTGGCTGATGAAACTGGCAGTGAAGTAGAACCACAAGTGAAGAAGCCGAAGAAAAAATCTCGAAAAAAGACGGAAGAACCATCTTTCGTGGCGATTGTTCCTGAGGAAGATGAGAAATCAAACTACAGTGATCGTGTACTAAAATCTAATTCAAAGAAAAAATTGCGGAAGGATGGATCATCTGTTGAACGCGAAACAAAGGAAGTTGATGAAAGTGATGCCCATGAAACTATGAAAGAGAAGGTTGTGACCACGAGCATTGACGTGGCAGTTGAGCCTTTGACCGGAGAATATTCAGAGTCTGGCCTTAAGATTGCTGTTGCAAGTTCAAAAAAGAAAAAGTCCAAAGTGAAGTATCAGGCAGAAACGTCCCAGGTTGCAGAAGTTGAAGAAGCGGTCATTGGTAAAACACCTGCCGCAAAGTCAAAAAAGAAGTCAATAAAATGCTTAACGAAAGCGAATCTTTGTACCGATAGCTACAGTGCTGTGGATACGGGTACTGCACAGAAGGATACGGGTACTACACAGAAAGCTACGATTGAGGCAGCAAGTCCTGCTTTGAGCGCAATCTGGAAGAAGTACTCGCATCGGTATGCAACAGCCTTTGTGCAAGGAGATATTTTACCAGGTAATGTTGAAAATAAGAATGACAGTGATGATGTGCCTGATAACAACGAATCTCAGATCGCGTCAAAACCTAAGAAAAAACGGAAGAAGAAAGAACCGTTTTCAGTCACTCCTGAGAAAGTTGTGAAAGACGATGTAAGTAACGTAAATGAAATGCTTTCCGATGAGGTTCTTCCTGTGAGAAACAAAATTGATAAGGAAAAAAAGCATAAAACTTCCAAATCAAAGAATAAACGGAAAGTTGGCGTTTCACCGTCCGAACATGTTGATGCTGAAAACAACGTGGGCGATCTTCCAGCAGTGGATAAGGCAAGTGTTTCCACAAATTTGCTTTCTGTAGAAGAGACGGTAGCTACAGTGCCGGTCGACGATGCATCCTCAAAAGGTTCTCAAAAAAAGAAAGACAAGAAGCAAAAAAGGTTAACCCGTGATGAAGACGCTGGGGTTCAAGAAAATCCAAGTGAATGTGAGCCTATAATGAAAAAGAGAAAGAAATCGAGGCTGGATGATGCAGTTATAACCATCAACCCTGTTGATGAAGCTGTACGCGAGAAAGGAAAGAAAAGAATGCGCGAAAACGCAGTATCTGCAGATGAAGTTTTCGAAATAAAATCAAAAAAGAAGAAAAGGAAAGATAAGGCTTCAAGCTGCTGATGTTCTAATAAATTTTATGATTGAATGTTTTGTATGAACTTCCTACTGTTCTTGGAGGTTACGGTCAGTTTCTAGCTATTGCCACGACGCCGCGTAAACCGCAAAAATTTCGTCTTTAAATTTGCTTGAGAACTTCATTTTGTTTTGGTGGTAAAATGCGTGTTCAGTTAGTAAAATTGAATATCAGTTGGCGATGAAAGTAGTCCTAGTTCATGGTTCATGTTGGATGCTCTGCCACGATTACTTTTCAGCATGTATAAAACTTCATAGTCGAGAAGTACCGCACTCTAATAATAGTCCAAAGGCTCTCAAACGGTCGTGGGTTGGTGTATCAGATGACAAGGACGCATTCAGTGTTGGAGAACAAAGATGCTAAGAAAGGTTATAGCTCGTGATTGCATTGACAGTAACGGAGCTGGTTGCTCCTGATGAATAATTAAGTTCCACTTGATGCAATTCATAGGGCAATGCATCCATCGTCTATGCATATATCCATCGGTAAAAATCGTAAGATCAAAGCTGGCTGATTACTGAAGAGTGCAGACGGGAAAATGTATATTTTTGACGGGAATGTAGACGGGAAAATGTACATTTTTCCGTTAAAAGGCAATCTCAATGCCTCGCAAAAAGAAGTCGAAACAAAAGTCTGTGGTTCGACTATTGATAAATGTTGACTGGAAGTGTTTAAAGCTATCTTCAAGGACAATGAAAGTTATTGGCATTCAAATTCATGTATTCCAGGATAGTTGTTACTCCCCAATAATTTAACGACGCTGAGTGCCGCCGATGCCGCGCTTGCCACTGAACAGATGCTTGGGCTTGAGGTCCACAATATGACGATCACTCTCGTGACTCTGGCCCTTCATCTGCCTCTTCCTGACGGCCTTCTTGAGCAGCACCTTTAGCTTGGCTCGCTTCTCAGGGTCAGGCTCCCCGGCCTCGCCGCGAGGAGGTCTCGAGCACGAACGGGCGCGTGACTCGGAGAGTCGCATTTTCTTCACGGGCATTTCGGAAGGGTCTCGGGATTGGGATCTTGATCGCTTATCGACTGTTGTGAAGCCAGCCTTCTTTGTGTCGCTCATGTCCACGCCAAGGCTCTCAAACTTGTCCCTGAACATGGCAAATAGAAATTGTCTGAAAATTGCAGATGTCTCGACACCTAATATCACATTTGAGGGGAAATGCACTGAATATCCTGTACCCACTGTTTCCTTGCTCAGTTTTAATAAAGAAGCAGACATGCAATTAATTATAAAGTGTGCGAGTCTGTTATGCGTGGCATTTGATTTTTTTTTGTTATTTACGCATGTATCCGAAATATTTGCCTTGTTTAACTCTATCAACAAATTCTAATATCAAGTATGTGAAGAGTTCATGGAATAATTTTTAAATTCCCTTGATTTAATCTATGAATTATGGTGATTATTTGTTATTATTATGACTGCTGATGATCAATTAGACAATTGGAGGTTTTTCTATCCCGAGCAACATCAGATTCACATGCACGTATTTTAAATTCATAATTCTAAGCTCAAACATTCTAAAGCTCGAACCCTCTCGTGTCTTATTCCAAATTGTTAACAGATTATGATCACTCGTGCATTCATACGTAATGCCGAGAACTGACCTGAGAGTCGACGTGGTTCTTTGAGGAACCTTAACCTTTGACGCTCTGCTGGTAGTCCTGATACCGACGCCGTTGTCGAGACGTGCATTGATGAGGTTAATGCCGATCTGCTCCTTGATGCGAGCACCGAGCTGCAGGAACCCGCGGTCCTGTTCCGTCTCATCGTCAGTGTCGCTGTCGTAGAAACCAGCGTCTACACGGTCTGCCTCTTCCTCCATCAGTTGCTTCAGTTTCTGCGACAGCAAATAAAGTTAATACTCAGATTCAATTTGGGATTGCATACACCAGAGAACCATTATAACATGACATTTTGTCATGAGGAGGCTAGAAACTTGTAAAAATACAAGTACATTTGAAATGATTGTTACTTCAGTTTCAGAAATTATCAAATTAATCACTAAATCAGCTACAAATAGAATGTTTTTACCTTCTCGAAATTCTCATCAATGAAGTCGGCGATATTTTTCCCATTCCAGAACCTAGGGATCTTGTCTGTCTTCCACTCGTCGTTGGCAAGATCCTTGTGCTTGTTGTAGTCAAGAACATAATCATCTCCTTGCTCTTCTTCGATGTCGGCTTCAAACTTATAGTTGGGATCTGACTCTCGGAGGTGGCTGACGTATTTATGCTGCGCTTGCAATGCAGCAACTTTAGGTGGGATGTAGGGAGGTCGTTCCTTACCATCACTTTTGGGCATGGCTACATAGACCCTGTTGAGGACACCTTCGGCTCTTTTGGCGTGCAACTTGGTATTCACACGCTGGTTCAGAAGCTTCTCGCACGCAGCGTTGCGCACATCCATCACTCCCGCCTTTGTGTGCGTTGAGATCTCAAAGACTGGCACACCTTTGTCTTCAATAGCCTTGATGGCTGCGTATTTCTCAGGGCTTTGTTTAGCCAGTTGCTCCAGTGTCGTTATGTCAGTCTTGTTGCACACCAGAAGCATCGGCTGTAATAGGAAATCATTTTAGTCAATAGATAGAATATACTGGTTGTGATCACTTGTGGTTTGGTTGTGGAAACGTGCAAACAATACTAATAAGAAATGTTTGGGAAAAGGTACATATAGTATTGAGTGAAATTGCGGAGAATCAATTTGAAGGGAAACATGATACTGAGACAATATTAATACACTGGCTAAATGTGTTCTATTTTATAGTAGAACCGATGTTATTACCAAGTAAAAGAGTCAAAAGGTTTTCGGCAGTCCTTTGCAGAGTAGCACATGGAACAAGTTCAGTTGGCAAGTAATATTGCATTTTAATGATACAAAGTTAGTCAATTATTTGTAATGCTTTTTCGTTTTTTTTCATGGAGCAGTTACGAAGTATAAACCTGCACAAAATTACTTGAAAAAACTGTCTAAAAAATATTTGACAAAAAAAGTAGTTAAAAGGGGAAAGTATCAAGTAGCACAAACCTTATCCGCAAAAAGAGGGTTGATGCAATGGAAGATCTTGAGCTGGTTTTCGATGGTGATGTCGCACGTCTCGGAAAGATCCAGGAAGAAAAGTATGGCAGACTTGATGTGAGTGAGGGCAGAGATTGCCTGCAGTTCAATGGTGTTCATTTGGTCAAAGGGCCTGTCGAGAATGCCAGGAGTGTCTATCACCTGCCAGCGCAGGTAGTCGTAGTCCATGTGGCCAACAAAGATGCTTTTGGTGGTGAAGGCGTAGGGCTGCACCTCCACTTCAGCACGCGTCAAAAGGTTCATGAATGACGATTTGCCTGAAAACAAGGTTTAAGTTAGGACGGTCAGCAAAGAGTTGAGTGTCTCGAAACTGCATAAAAGAGGATTCGTGTGGACGTGAACGTATATTGAGTAACGAGATCTTGCAACTCAATCCTTATTTTTCATCTACCAGCATTTGCATTATCCTCTTCATTCAATAATCAATTTTGAGTTTATTATGAATACACCAGTAGAAATGTTGAACAACATTAACATTATGAATATATATTTATTTTTACGTAATACCGTATCCGCGACAGAATGTAAAATTTCTCAATACCCTATGAAAAAGCTCAACTTTGCCTCAAAAGGATTGAAATGGTTTAATCAAAATAGGATATAAAGATGGTAGAATACAAATGTCGCAAAAAATTGAATGCAGAGCATATAAAAATAAATTTAAATCGGAAAAAAGAAAGATAATGAAATGATTTGCACGTCATTTAGTGATTAAAGAGGTATGTTGAAATATAGTGAATAACTTGATGTTCGACAGTTTAAATTTTTCATTTAAGGTGCAAGGCATGAAGTGTTTTGATAGCTCACCTGCATTAGGGCAGCCACAAATGAGTAGGGTTCTGTCATTGGGATCGATCGTCGGGAGGCGAGACAGATGCTGGCGGACCTGGAAAAAGTGCATAATGAAAATAGTTAGAAATTATACTTTCTTAATAATATTTTATTATGTTACATGCCTGCGCACATAGAAAGTCTTTTCGTCATCGATTGAGCTTGAATTACAGCAGCTTTGTTCTTAAACTGGTAGTATCAAATGTGAAGATAAAAATTATATATTTTGCCACCTAGCAGAAATGGAGTTTTTTTACCGAACAACTGTACCTATCATGGGCAAATTATTATTACATTTTGAAGCTGTAACAAGTGACAAATAATTTTAAGCAATTTTAAATGACCACCAAGATTTAAAATTAATAAAATACAGTCCAAAGCAAAGACACAGCACTAAGGTTTAACTCACCTCCTCCAGGAAAACAAAGACAGGCGCCTGATGTTTGACAATAGTCACCATGCGCCCTAAAGCTGCCTTCTTTAGACGCTTGCAACGGAACAGCGAGTCTCCATACTTCAGCAACTTTATGTAGTCTGAGCCAACCTAATAAAAAACACAGTGTTATATTCAAACAATTAGATTACATATGATCAAAGGTTATGAGAGGAATCAACCATAATATGACTTTACAACGCCAGAATTTTGAATGGCTCACCATGAACGGCAACAATTATATTTTACATGAATGTAAGTATTACAGAACCTATGACAAGTCCAGGTCCTACTTATTGCCGGTGAAAAATTGAACTGCTTTATTCCTTAAGAATTGTAGATGCTACAATACACTGAAAGGAATAAATGTGTACGAGCAATAATAAGTTGCAGCATGCATTTGATTGCTAAGCAACAATACTGACCTTGGTGATGAGATGGACAGCTGTGTTTATCTGACCCAAGGCAATCTTGTAATGTTGCTTGTCATAGTTGATATTGAAAAGGTCAGCATAGAAGGGATGAAGGTCCTGAAATGCAATGATAATTGTGAGCAGGAAATTTGAGTCAAAACAAATGATTAAATAAAAATATAATGAAGTACGTACTCTATTCAAATTTCATTACCGGACAGGGGGTACAAAACCGGACAAAATCGAGTCCAGTAATTAACTCTGCAATTAGTTTGTACTTAAAAACCGGACACAAAAATAAATGAACTACATTACCGGACACCAAAAAATGCCAACCTCGTTAGGTTAGGGTTAGAGTTAGGGATAGGTGTGTCTAAAACCCTTCTTTAGGTTGCTAGAGACCGTTTTACTGAGGTTAGGTCTAGCCAGGTCAAGTTTTTTTATGTATTTTTTGCAATTTAGCAAAAAAAAAAAAAAATCAAAGTCCGGTAAAGTGGAATTATGACTTCATATATATATACCTATATATACATCAACTATATGAGTAATATGACTATAACAAGCACAAGGTAGCATCTAAGAAATTCATATTCTACCAACTTAGAATTGTATGATGGTATCAGTCTCTTACCAGCACCTTTATCCACAACTTATACTTACATTGATTTTAGGAAATTCTTGCAGAATCATATTAAAGCGCTCAACAAACTGCTGCTGAATGAAGCGAACTTTGACCATGTAAAATTTTCTGATGCGCGAGATGACAAAGTGACGTCTGATAACTGTGGGGGTTCTGCGCTGTGTGCGCGACAGCATGACATTGATGAACTCCTGCAATTAGAGTAATTGTTAATAATATAATCATGCAAATTATTCCACTTCCACTTTCAAACAACCTAATTAATATAAATATTGAATACTCCTAGGTACTTTATTAAATTAACACATATATGTACAAAATTTCAATTGATAAATGAAAGGCAACTGATTATATGATAAATATATAATATTTTAGATTATTGAATTCATGTACTGCATACTGTACATATAGGTATATATATTTATAATAGAATACTATCATAAGTCTTTCTCAACATAGGTACAAAATTCTGTGTAGGTAACAATTAAGACCAGGAGAAAATGCAGGTTTTGATTTATAAATATTTATAAAAATACTCACATCTGCAGTGTGTATGGTAGTAATCTTTTTGAAATTATATTGAGACATGATGGATGATTTTTGCTGCACCTGTTGTGAAAAATACCAAAGCAAACATAAGAGATATATTTCAAGCATAATGAAGTCAAATAATGAGCTCCCAAGATTTTTCATATCTACCTAACAGTACCAACCAATCACAGTCTGAGCTTTATGTTCTATGCAAGTGTGCAATACTTAAAGCTTAGCATCCAAGTTTTTGATGCTGCATTGACTGATGACTCTTGAAGGCTGATAGCCAACATGGAACTAATATTCATAAAGATTGGATATTCACAAATAGCAAATGATTAATAGGAGATGATGGACTACAAACCACAATCAATGAAGAACTAAGAAGAAGCAGATCAATAAGATAAATACCAATCTATGGTGTTTATTGATTGAGTATTATGACAAAGGAGCTGGACTCAAAAACATTTTCAATAAAAATTTGGTCAATTTGTGAAGAGTTGTTTTGCCTTTAAATTTCTATTAAAGTATGCATCAGTTGTGCCAGGTCAGGAAAAGTCCTACTTTTTTCTGAAATATGGCAGCTCTACGGCCTCTACCATCATATAATTTCAGTAGGTATGAAATCTTGCGGCTCTACTGTCATGTATTTATGTTTGATTGAAAAATTGTGGTTTGCAATCCGCACACATGTCAATATATAAAATTTTCAACTTCCGCAATTTGCATTACTTTACTACTGCCACCAAAATATCCTGCAGAACGTAATCATTGTAATGATAGCAAGTCAACCTACCAAACATTTTGTTGAAGATGGCACATAGTTGCAGTCATGTCAGAGTGGTCAGACTGCATTAACACGTGTTGAGCTTACAGTAAAGACAAATGTTATTGTTGCCATTTGACTGTTTCAATGTTAAATTAGAGACTTTGGGTAACACATGAATGGACTTTGTTAATAAGTTTGCAGCTTGTAAATGGTCCAACATGGCCAAGAAATGCCAGGGTGCAGAAAGTGGGCGAACATCGAAAGATATTTGCTGATGCATCAGCAGCAAAATTTACACCTTCTGACAATCTTGCTGACATATTTGAATTGAAATTATTGAATTTTAGGAATTACTTCAAAATTAGGTACTGTAATCAAAGTTGCTTGCAGCACTTTCTTATTAAAAATTACCCGGCAATGGGCAATGGATCTTGAAATTGGCTGGTGACGCTTTGGGCTAAAAATCCTTATCTTGGCAATGCTGCTTGCATGCTCTGCACCCTGGGAGATATGGAATTTATGGCTTAAAAAAATGGAATCATGACTTGATGAACTGGAATCACGGCTGGCAAATCCATAAAACCATGGCTCAAAAAATTCAGTTGTGGCTTGCCAAGTAGATATATTTCATGCCTGAGTTGTGCAAGAATTAATATTGTATTTTTCATCAATTTTGCGCTATTCTAAAATATTCAGATTAATATTTAGTTGCATGAAAATTAGACGAAAAACAACCTGTGATAGCGCAGCTGTACAAAATCACTAACAAAATATTTTTCTGTGATCATATGTACCGTAAAATGGGGTAACTTAGACCGGCGGGGTAACTTAGACCACTTTTCGTTTTTTTAACAAAAACCCCCACAACTCAAAAACTATTTGATATAGAAAAATTTTGTCAATGGGCATTAAAGGCCTAATACTGAGGCTACATAACACAATAGAAAGATTTGAAAAGTTTGCATATCTAATAGGTTAAAAAATTAAAAATGTGACCCACGAAAAAAAGCTATTATTTTAAGCCTGTCAGAGTGTTGGAATTAGTTTTTATGTGTCTAAAACCATCTCTTAACTTAATCATCTATTAATTTTTTTACCAATTGAAATCAGCAAATAGGGTAAACGCGGTATATTCCGACACATTAAGGACGCATTGAGAAATGAAAAACTATAAAAAAATAACCGTATGCGTTATTTGAGTTCTGTTTGCTTTATGTGACTCGCAAAACACCGTACTACGTGCCAGCAACAATGAAACGTCACAAAATGTTGCCATATTTATTTAAAAGCCTTTAGAATGCAAACCTACCAAATCCCTATATTCCGACACTTTGTGTGGCAATATTTGGCACGTGGTGAGGCGTATTCCGTCCGCGCTTCAAATTCTACCGATACATAATGCCGTCATCCACCTGTTCGAATTCCGTTTGCTGTGTGAGCTGTATTGGAATACAACACGGCTTTGAATTAGAACACTAATGAATATTGAACACTACTTAATTACGCTTTTAATTAACAACTATTAAGCTTTTAATTAAGCAAATTTTAATTTTTGTACATAGCTTGGAACGATCTGTGTGTGTCCAATTCAAGTTGTGACGGAATTAGTTTTCATGTGTATAAATCCATTTCTCAACTTAATCATCTATTAATTTATTTACCACTTGAAATCAGCAAATACAAGTATACCTAAAGCAGTGTGGAAATCCAGAGGGGTAATATATTAACTGGTAAACATAGCAAATTGGAAAGCAGGACCCAAAAATCTGGAACGTCCAGCCAGTGTGGAAATCCAGAGGGGTAATATATTAACTGGTAAACATAGCAAATTGGAAAGCAGGACCCAAAAATCTGGAACGTCCAGCACACTTCCACTTTCAGTCGATCATCATCACTGATGAGTCTCTGCAAGATGCCACAGCTGTTTCTTTGAAAAAAAAAACAGTGCTTGCATCATCACAGTAACAAGAATCCAATCAACGCTTGAACGCGTCCAACGTAACAGTCACAAGAATCCAATCAACGCTTGAACGCATCCAACGTACTGTCACAGGGATCCAATCATTCACTCACAAATACATGAAAAACTGCCTATGATTCAATCCACAAATACAAAACTGACCACCAAATCTCCTTTCGTTGCGATCAGCCGAACAAAAAAAGTAAACAAAGAAGGTAGCAGGGATACCAACCGCACCGGCAACCAATGTGAAACCGACATCAATATAGTCATGTGAAAAACGGAGATATGAATTCTTCTATATTAAAAATTTATCAGTAACTGACATTCAACGGAAATTAGAATGGTTTAATAACCTTCGTAAATATTTTATATTATACATGCATGCAGAATCAATCGTGTGCAACAGTGGCGGCACTGGCGGGAATCTAGTAATGACGGTTAGTGGTTAGTTGACGGTGGGTGAGGTAGTTACAGAACATTACTGCAGATAAAGCTCCCAAACTTCGAGACGATAATTGAGTGAAAACTTTACATGATATATTGTGAGCCTTCTAAAGTTTTAATAATGAAGAAATCACAAGGTTCACAGAATCTAAAGGTTTGAATGCTAAACTTTTGACTTTTGAGTACTCTATTGACGATCGAGTCTATTCTAGTCAGTCAACTGTGAAGTGTCATGTTTGTTGTGCATTGCCTTTTCTTCGAGAAGTTTCTCCAACTGCTGATGAGTGTCTCCTCAATTTGAAAGCTGAGGTAACAAATAGGTGCCATAAATGTTTTTTTATATTTAATTCGAAACTATTATGTTGCGACTTGCGAGTAAATAGTATTTCCTTCTGTAGATCCATCTCTCTTGCTAATCTGTGAGACTGTGAGTAATGCGCGCAATTAACAATCTTGCATGGGACCTTCTCTGTGTTGCCTGACTTGATGTTCATACGATCATAGCTACCGTAACCGAAGCCGATTTCTGATGGCCTGCAAACCTGTTTCTAGTTGCCTGGAACGTTTTTTTTAAGGCGGAACACTTTTTTTATGTGAACCACAAATTTTAGAATTCCACATTGACCTAAAGGATTCCTAATATATTCACAGAGGTATTTAAAAGTCTCAAACCATAATATTCTTCCTATACAAACAGTTATTCACTATTTGGTAGTGCAAGGTCAACTGTCAAATTTGACACATTTTTCGATGATCTCACTGGGTAGCCGGTAGGCGGTAGCGTGCATTGTCTCTCTTTGGATCTCAATATTTTCCCGCTAGATGGCCAAGACCTAGTGTTTATGCATTAGTTCGACGCGCAAATGTATGACATCACCATTTCAACCATCAATGAATGCATGGAACTAAAACAAAGCTTAATATAAAGGAAAAACTAGCGAGGTGACGGAATTACCCACGATGTTGGAATATACCGCATTTACCCTACAAGTATACTTAAAGGATTCCTAATATATTCACAGATGTATTTAAAAGTCTCAAACCATAATATTCTTTCTACACAAACAGTTTATCACTATTTGGTAGAGCAAGGTCAAGTGGTAAACTATCAACTTTGACACATTTTTCAATGTTCTCACTAGGTGATACGCTCCCTTTGGATCTCAAGATTTTCCTGCCAGAAAGCCCAGACCTAGTGTTTTGGCAAATGGCAATAGTATGGCGCGCAAAAGTATGACCTCACTATTTCAACCATCAAGTAGGGCATGGAACTAATAAATAGCTTAATATAAAGGAAAAAAGTTGAGAAGTGTCGGAATTACCCACGACATTGGAATATACCGCATTTACCCTATCGCCTATGTCTATGACTATGAGGCTATGAGCATGAGGGAATAGGGTAAACGCGGTATATTCCGACATCGTAGGTAATTCCGTCACTTCTCTAGTTTTTCCTTTATATTAAGCTTTGTTTTAGTTCCATGCGTTCATTGGGAAGTTCAGTTTTGCATTGAAATCGATGGTTATTTGTGAAAAATATTTTCGATTGTGATACTATAACATTTCTGATTGTGAAGTAATTTTCATTGTGATATTGACACTTGACAGAAGTGTCAACATTTGAACATCGAAGTTCTAACATCATGGCTTGGCCAATTTTACCGATGTCATTGTCATTTTTCACGTCATTGATATAAATCTGGAAGCAACGTAAGTAAGTAAGGAATTTCCCAGTTCAAATATGTATTTATTTACTTATATCAACTTCGAAACTGTACATATTTTAAAATTGAGTTGTTATGAGACCATAACTGAGAAAATGTTGCTCAATGGGTTAGTCCAGTCGTAAATGAGACTTTCGTCCCCCGCTGAGCCGGACCGGTCGATGCTCTTGCAAACGCATAAGTACTCACAATAATTCCCTGCCACCATGCAGTTTACATCATTCAGACATGAGACATACCCACGATTTTGAATATAGCATAGCAGAAACTTATTTTATTAACGTATTTGCACGACATATCTAGATGAATAGGTACTTTGCTTACAAGTAACGATGAAGGGTGAATGAAGACTCAATTCTGGCAGTATTAGAACCTAATATTGAAGAAACATTATTACACAGTACACACGTAGAGACGGTATAGCTGACTGCGGGCTCCCCTTCCCGCAAAGAAAGGTTGATTGCGATTTAGCTGATGCTCCTTACGAATAAGAAGTAGGTTAAATTGTGTTGAACGAACCATGCAACAACAACAACCATGCATTGTGTTGAATATTTAAAATATGTTAAAAATTCACCAAAAAGTTTCTAGAATTACTCACAATCCTATCGAATATTTTTGAATAAAACAATAACAGTTATCATTGGTTAGGGTTGAATCGCGTTTCCTTGTTCAAAAATTGCATTTAAGCTCAATACAATTGTTTCATAGTTAACTATATAGGAATTGGGATATGTATCTTTAGAAACCTTCCAATTTTGCAATGGAACGATGAGATTTTTTCGCGAATCTTCCGGCATAGCGTATAGGATAGAGTCACGCAAATTCGCATTCAGAAAAAAAGATGAAACGAACAGGTTATCGATGATGAGTAGTGTGAGTACATGCTCACTACACAGAACACTGATACTGAGGACAGTGAATGACTGGTTATTGATTACCATACAGATGCTTTGCCTATTTGGATGGTGAGTAACTTTCTTTCAATTTCTCTGTAAGAAATAAATTATTATTTGATAATAATATCCATGTCTTCTCATTTGTCTTGAAGAATCATGTTTACATCCAATGATCCAGCTGTCCAGGGCCCCAGACTGTCCAGTCCAGTGTCCAGATCCATGAAGCTAATTCCTAGTTAAATTTAGAAGTCTAGGTTGAACTTCGAAGGTTTGTTTCCAATATTGTACATGTCTAGCAAAAGATATATCTGATTGAAATTTGAATTTGATGGTTTTACAAACATTAGAAGTTTAGAACCCCCAACTGGAGCTGAATAGCCTACACTACTGGCTACAGTCAACAGTGCTGGAAAAGTCAAAAGTTCTACTTTTTTCTGAAATATCGTGGCTCTAATATTATATATTTTTTGTAGGTATGAAATCTTGTGGCTCTAATCAGACCAGGCATGGAATATATCTACTTGGCGAGCCGCGACTGAATTTTTTGAGCCGTGATTTTATGGATTTGCCAGCCGTGATTACATTTCTACGAGCCGTGATTCCATTTCACCGAGCCGTGAGTTCCATATCTCGGCCATGAAAAGCCATTTACGAGGTGCGAATGTATTTACATAGTCCATGCACTTGTTACCCCAAATCTCTAATTTTACCCTTAAACAGTCAAACGGCAACAATAAAATTTGTGTCTACTGTAAGTTCAGCACACCTTAATGCAGTCTGACCGCTTTGACATGACCACAACTATGCGCAAGCGCAATCTTCAACAAAACGTTTCGTTGATTTGTTTACATTACAATGTTTATGTTTTTTCTGCAAGATATTTTTGGCGGGAACGGTAAAGCAATGCGGATTGCGGAAGTTGAAAATTTTATGAAATGACATGTTTGCAAAGTGCAAACCGCGATTTTTTAATCAAACAAAAATTTATGACATTCGAGCCGCGAGATTTCATACCTACTGAAATTATATGATATTTGAGCCGCGATATTTCAGACAAAAATAGGACTTTTCCAGACTAGAATCAGACTAATGTCATCTATTTTTGTTTGATTGAAAAAATTGTGGTTTGCAATATGCAAACATGTTTCATAAATTCATAACATTTTCAACTTCCACAACCCACACAACCATGGCTGGAAAGTCTTATTTTTTCTAAAATATTGTAGCTCTAATATCATGTAATTTCAGTAGGTATGAAATTTTGCAGCTCTAAAGTCATAATTTTTTGTTTGATTAAAAAAATCGCAGTTTGTACTTTGCAAACATAAATTCCATAAATTCTAAAATTCATAAAATTTTCATCTTCCACAATCTGCAGTATATATACTCTGATTTGTCTGATATATATATGGCCCCCCTGATTTCAGACTTAAGTCACGCATGACTGAAATCATAGGGCTCCAGTGTGTTCACAACTTCACATTATGATTATATTATTAGGGAGCGGAACTTTTCTTCAGATGACGGTAGATAAAAAGGCAAGTTTCAGGAAGTAGTTTTTCTTTATTAACGACGTTTCGAATGCAACAAACACTCATTTTCACCGTCATCTGAAGAAAAGTTCCGTTCCCTGATAATATAAACCAACAAATTCTCTGGTCATCAATCGCACGTGTGTAAATAAGTAAATCCTGCCATCTAATAACAATACCTACATTATGTATATAATTTTTTCTCAATCAATATAATGTGCATGAACGTCATTTGTGGTGCAGCAGTTACTGCTGTTTCATAACTTTCATATATTTGGTATTCAACAGATGCAACTTGACTTCCTTGTTACCCACTTTAAACATTAATGAATTTAAGTTCTTAGATTACACTGCAGAGTTAAAATTTAATTCATTTATTATTTTCCATAACCTGCAGAATTAGTGGCAATTTTTTTCCACCTATGTTCCCTGCATAGCTTGTTAACAGACATACTAGTTTGTCTGATATTGCATTTACTTCTACAAAAATTGGGAAGAATGGTGCATTTTTGCCTGAAATTTTTATAAATCTCCCTTGAATGATAGGCATTTTTTCTTCAATTTTATTTTTGAAATTTTGCTAATACTTTAGATTGACTATACGTACATATGTAATGACTAAATTTTTTGTGTGATTAGTTTTTTGATTACTATGCTGGTGTGTAAGTTTCCTAGGACAGAATTTTTTATGAGTGCTGAATAATTTTCAAAGGTCAAAAACCAAACGGTAAGCTGAATCACATTTGGCAAGTCATAAATTGAGATTTGAATGGAATCTCTAACATGAGATATTTCCAATAATTTTGGAATTTCATCCCTAGATCATGCAATTTTGTTAACAATTAGATAAGATATAAGTAATTCAGGGTCATCTGGTGGTTCCAAAAATATAATTAATGGCTTGGAAAGTACCTACTATATATATTCCGTACCTGCCATAAATTGAATGTCAAATTTTCAACTTTATGATTGAAATTACAAGAAAGATATTACCTAGATTTTTAAACTTAATTTAGCCCCTGATGTCTTATTTTTTTAACTGAACTATATTGTAGTTTTTCTGCTTTAAGCAAGATACCATATCTACCAATGGTAACATAAAAATAAGTCCACACTTTATGAGTGCAATTATATACAAGAATTAAAATTGTTATGTCATTGAAATTTTAGCTTTAGAGTGGTACTTGACAAGGGTATTTCAAATTAATGGATCACAGAGCTGCTTGATTTCTGAACAAACAAAAATGTGTACATAACTATTTCAGTTTCCCTGAAATTGATGGTGATATTGGAGCCACAATATTTTACTGATGAGTTGCAATTATTCAGTCATGTGAAGTATGCAAAAGTCACAAATTGCTATTTATTCAAAACTTAAAAATACTTCCCCAGTATACCACTTTGACCTAACATTACTGACTCATCAGCTTAGGGGCAGTCAAACTTGTGTACATTTTTACAAGGTCAAGAAAAGCTACGTGAGTCTCTCTTGCTTGCAAATGCATAATAAGGCCATTTTCATAGTAGTAATAAATAAAAAATTAACATACCCATTGAAACTTGAAAAATGCATAATACAATTACAGTCTGCTTACGGATTTTGCTCATCAACATGTAGAAAATAATTGTTTGGTCATTGTAGCTATAGAAAGCTGAAAGACACCTGAAAGTGAGCCTAAACAGACCAGATCTTTGGATAATTTCATCAGTCTCTGACATCCTATATAATATCTTTTCACCCATACCTAACAACAACTAAAACAGAAACATTTACCTGCAGTTTCAAAAAAATCCCAGAAGTTTCCTGATAGCAGACAATAGCACAAGAACTGATTCAAGCCTCTTGAACTAGTATTTAATGAACATGCTTTCAAAAAATTTCACTTGTAAACATTCAGTAAAATGTTGTGTGTCTTTTCCAGATTGGGTACCCGAGTCTCCTTGGTTCCAGAAGCCTCTCAACTCTCCAAATTCAATTTATTTTTAGAATCCATGTAATATTTTAAATTTTGCTAAGAAGTTACTACATTGTTGTAGTTTCTGTACAATCTTATATTTAGGTTATAGTATATTTTCTTTCTCTTTGTTTGGCATAAATTTATTTCACATAAGTCTCTTTGGTTAGTCTTCCAAGATTATTTGGGAAAATTTTCAAAATTACATTTGTATGAATTCTAAATGGATTCTCCATTTAAAACTGTTGAAAAAATGTCTGTATTGAAATTTTATTAATTGAAACTGTTGGTAATTCTTCCAAAATGTCCTATCTATAAGCAAGGTTTATTACTTTAGGGCTGGCAATTTCAAAGCATCATTTGGATAAGCATTTGATACTTTTTATACTGTTCAATTCTTTATTGCAATTAACCATCCAAGCCTCACAATTTTCAATTTATTAGAGGTGTTATACTGTAGTCTGTACAATAATTAATTATTGAACTATTTTAGTAAATTTTTGTAGAGGAATTTCTTGTGTGTTGCATTGCATCATGTCTTAAATTAGGGACAATAACATTTGTATCATGACTTGTGTGCCAAATATTGATGTGGTCAACATACCAGACATGGCAATAAGGCAATCTGGTCTTGAGACAACTCCACTTTCACTCAGCAGTGGTATTCAGGAGCAGTTGTGCGAGATGAATTCTGCAAATCATGTGCTCAGTTCTATGACTTCGAATGCTGAGGGAAGGCTGGTTAAGGTTCTTCATGTGCCATGTCAACCAGACCAGGTTGACAGCAATATTGGTGGCTCACTTTCTTTCCTTAATTGTGATTCATTTAATGTTGTTAATCAAAATTATAATAGTTCTGAGAACTTGCAATCAATTTTGTCATCGTTTCCTCAACCTGTAGGAGATTTTTCTGCAAACACATCTTCTAGTTCTTCAGTATTGAAAGTTCCTGTCATAAATATTAATAATGAAAGTAGTACTGTCTGTAACGGTGAGATTCTTGTGGCACCAAACATGAGTTCAGGTTCCGTTGGTCCAATCATTCTGAACTCGGATATCTCTACGTCATGCAATGCCAATATTAATCCATCGAGTTACAACTATGAAAAAAATTCCGGAAAAAGTAAGTTTTCTGATGTAACTGCCCTCAAAACTCTTTTGTCAGCACTTCCAAGTGATCATAACTCCAGCGTTTGCAAAAAGTTCAGGCCAATACGCCCCAATTTTTTATCACAGTTCATAGCAAACATAAATCAAAATGTTACACCCACATCTGCAAAGAGAACCCTACTAAAACCGATTACAAAAAAAGATGGAATAAGTATTGTTAATTGCAATTTGAATACTCTAGATTCTGTTATTGATAATGCGGTAATTACTGTCGATGACGTGAAATTATGTGATCTCAAAGATGAGGAGTATATTCTGTTATGTGATGAAAAGGATAATGTTGGCAACAGAAGTAGCCAAGATCATTTTTTTCCGCGTCAAAAGGCACGCATTGTACGTCAGAAAAAAAAATCAGATACGAAGCCGTTATTGCACAAGAATGAAAACGCGTCTTTTTCTTTTGGTCATAATTTACCAGGTAGTGGTAAGATTATTTTGAATGATATTTGTATAATCTGTGGCGTCAGTGATACGATGTCAGAACATGTGGTTATTGATAATGTTTTCTGTGGTGAAACAGGTTCTGATACTCTCGATTATCTGTGCAAAATACTGAGAATAAAACGGAATGAGTTTGAAATGATTGGCAGCAAGCTTTGTGGTTACTGCTCGGAGTTGTTGAAGGAAATTAAAATGCTGGAAACAAATTTAATTTTGAAAGAAAATATGATTAGAGCCGCTTACAAAATTGGCTTGAAAAAAGTTCGTGCTTATGAGCAAAATTCAATAAAAAAATGCACCGAGCAAATTTTGGACATAAGCGACTTATCAAATCATAATGCAAACGAGAGTAAAGTTAGTGTTTGTGTAGATGCGTCGCATCCAAAGAGAAAACTATGTGGTGGCATTGTAATGCAAAAACAGCATAAGGATTTCACAACTTCGTCTAGCAAAATGTACTATGATTCCGAATTCGACGAGGAAAATACGGGAAACATCGGTGGTTCCGGCCACAGTTTAGACGAGACTAACCTATTATCCGCGCGTCTTAATCGCACAACGAAAGTGAAAAGAAGAAAGGTACCAAGGCGACGGCGGTTCCCATGTGACGACTGTTGCAAATCTTTTCCTTGTCGACGCAGTTTACTGGCACATGCTTCCTCCCACGAGAGGGGTTTCGATTGCAACGTTTGCGGCCGATACCTCACGACCAAGGTACGGCTAGCCACGCATCTCTTCAAGTTTCATGGAATTGGAGAAGAAAAGCTAAAGGCTGTGCGCTGTGATCTGTGCGACAAAAGTTTTCAAACGAAACAGGGCTTGGCTTACCACAGGAACGTTTCTCATCAGACTGGCTCCAGGTACGAATGCCCTCACTGCCAGAAGGTATTCAGCTATCATGCACTTTTCAGAAGTCATCTCTTGTTCGCACATGGCAAGAAGAAAATTATTTGCGAAACTTGCGGTGACATGTTTTTTACTGTGTCCAAACTAAACACACACATAAACGCCAAGCACAGAAATGCAAAAACCTGGCAATGTCTGGAATGTGACGTTCAATTCACCACGGGTACTGCATATCGTCATCACAACCTAGTAAAACATTATGATTCCAAGTTCTCCTGCGATTACTGTGACTCGAAGTTCAGGAAGAAGTCCGCACTTTTTTCCCATATGCGCGAGCACAACATTTACGCCTGTAAGTTGTGTAGAGAACTTTTCTCTACTGAAGACTTGCTTGAAACTCACATGTCAAGTGTTCATAACATTTCTCTTGCAAAATCTGCTAGAAGAAAGCATATTAGTTCATCGCACGGCCGGAAGCTGCGTCCCAAAATGTCATCTAATGATGCGACTGCTGAGACGACAAAAGCTTTCGTCGACGTATCTTCGGAATTGACTCGAATTGATCTCAACGATATATTGATCAATAATTCCTTCAACAACGGTTCCACTTTGCAAATGTATCATCGCGATCACACGGGAAAATTGCACGATTGTCAAGTCGGTGATGCGGAGGGCAAAATTAGTTCTTTCGGTATGATCGAGCAGGCTAGTGAGTTAGGAGTGCCTTCTCACTCGAACACTCTCACCCTTGGCGACGATGTATCTTTCATTAATGTCGAAATACTGCAGGGACTTCCTCATAACGATAGACATAATCTATCATCGAACGATTCCGGCCACAACATGCCCTTGTTGGATCATCTGGAGCGTGTAGAAAACATTTCCCCTAATCTAGGCGATAATATAGATGAGTTCGAAGGCGTAATGCACCCAAGCTTAACCTCGGACCTTAATTCTTCGGTTGGACATTTCCAGCCAGATGTTGGTCCCGACCATGTTGTTGCAGAGCTCGTGCACCGCGCTGTTAGTGGAATGGATAACGGCGGGCCTGAGTTCGTCTCTTCAATTGATCATCTTGATAATACAGGACTCCCTTCTGCCGTTCGCAACATGCAGTCGAGCTTAGAAACCATGAGCAGCGAGCTTGCGGGTGATATCCACGCACTGGAACCCTGCGTGAACGACCTGCGTTCCCCAGGAGGAGACATCACATCTGTTCATGAACTTTGTTCTGTTGACATGGAAACTTCCGTCGATGAACTCGGTGCCGGTGAACCAGTGACAGGCATAGCTGCGACTGTTGATTTAGTGAATTCTGAAGAAATAGACGTTGGTCATGAGAATCAAATGCACTCTGCTACCTCTGAAGTTCTTCAGTCATCCAGCATTTGGTTGAAGCAGAATGCCTGGGCCATGCTTAAAGGAGGTTCAGGAGACCAGAATCTTGCTTCTCTGCAGAACCTCTCCAATCCTACTATGGAAGACCTCGATATCAGCGTCATCGATGCTGACATTGTATCTAGTGATGTAATTAGCGCTAGTAACACAATTGATCTTGATGTTAATGTCGCGGATAAAGATAATGATGCGACATTGGAGGTGCTTGATGTCCATATGTCCGACTAGAGTGGAGACCATATTTTTCTTAGGCGCTCGTCCGAAATTATGTTTTTATGTTTTTTATATTAGAAGTGTTGATAAATTAGGATAAAAATTTATGCATTTCCCACAGTATGCGGGATTCAATATAGGTACTATCATTTATATCGCGGAGTGTGAATGTCTCCATGATTGTAAATTAAATTCATACATTTTAAGTAAATATTTTCAATTTACTAGTTTTTTCCTTTCATCCCAAGAAAACCGTTAAACTTATTGGCACCTTGTTCATTATAAATTCATTATAACAATTGATATTATTTTTTATATCAAATTCAAGCAAAATTTTAGTTTTATCAATTTTTACTCATTTGAGCAAATGTGTAAAACTCGTACTCACATATGACGTCTCTTTTTAGGCCAGAAATTGCAGGTTCTCGAAATGCAAGCCCAATTCGTGGGGAATTGAATAGATATACATGAATTTAACACTTGCCGAAATACATTACCTTTTCGACCGTAATTTATTCATTATTTTACTTCAGTTCCTGTTCAAAATCAACATTTATAAAATTCTCAACAAATTGTTCAAAATATAAAAATACTGTGAGCTCTGTTCATCGTATTCCTTCCGGAAGTTTGAAAGTGGCTGCGAATGCTATAGAACCTGTCCATTGTCTTTACAGATATATTCTAGAAGAAAATATTTCGATTGATAGCAGTAAATTTTCGGAACTCAGATGATTTCAACTCTAATTAAAAACAAATTGATTGATTAACAACTCTGGCATGCGAGACTGTATTTTCTGGAGTCAAGGTGCGAAATTCGTAGTGAACAATGACATCGCTCCGACAACAACAACAAGAATGCTCTTCCTGCCCAGACTCGACGACCTCTGGAAGAGAAAGTGCGATCAGGTTCAAGGTGAAGAGTTCAACTCGTTACATCATGCGAATCATTTAATTTTATAACATTCAATTAAGTGTTTAGGAACAGATTGATACATGATCATATCACTTGACTAAATGTTTTCTTGGAAAGCGTATTACCAAAAAGCTCTATTTTGAATAGATTTCATGATATTCTTCGTCATAAAGTGGATTTCATATCTGCTGTAATCATGATCTAATACTTGGTAGAATACGTTGCCATACTTGCCACATTTTATCTACACATTTATTTCATCTGAGTTCATGACCTGGTACAAATTTTATTTACAAAACTGCGTTGTTTATGAAGGATATGAAAACATTGTGTTGGCACCAAATTATGTTTCTTTATTATTCAACTTTTATGTCTTCGCCAAGTCATCGCAGAAGAAAGCGCGACTTCCTTCCCGCGCGGAGCAGATGTTCAGCGTCAGAAGAGGATAGAACTCAACTTAGTGAGCTTTTTGTGCAACCACGAAATATTATTATTATTAACAACTTGTCCAACGCAAAAAGCAGGTGCGATATTTTAAGTGAGAGAAATACATTTTCTATATGTTCTGATTTTATTTTATTATTTGGACTTCAATTGAGCTGAAGCTACTCACGCGTGAATTGAATCCTTTTTAGCACATATTCTCGTACATGGAAAAAGGCGCTATTGTACTCGCCATGTCCGTCTGTCTGTCTGTCCGCCCGTGACTTCACGTTTTTGTCAACGAGAAAATGCACTCTGTCACTCACTGCAGTGAGTACTGAGTTACATTTTTTCACATATAGTCGATAAAACTTTGTTGAATTAACGGTTTATTTTGATGAAATTCTATTTTGATCACAGTCTACTTACGTAATTAGAATTACTGAGGTCTAGATTAATCGTATTAATAGCTTCAGCTTGAATAAAACTTAAACTCCGTGTTATATCTTGCCTTACCTACATTAGACGATGATAAAACATCCCTATACAAATGATTTCATTTTGGACCGCGATTCACCGTAAATTTCAAGCCGATCAAACGTGTTATTACGAGATTATTAAAAAGTTTTGCTATAAAAAATTTCTATCAGACGTCTTCGTTTTTGTGGAACTCGTCACGTGAAGGCGGTCGAATTGCCCCTCCGAAGACATGACATCGTTCCGGGACACGTCCCTCAAAACTTGATGGATTCTAGAGCCCCTGCCTCCTCGACAAACTTGGCCTTTGAATTGCGTCCTAAGCAATAAATTTTGAGGCAACAATTAAAAAAAATTCTAAAATTTTAAAATTTCGGGTAAATTTTGGAAAACATAAATAATTATGAAGGTGAGAATACCACCAATTTAAATAGGATTCATTGGCGAACAACACATTGGAATGTGTAACAATGGTACCGATAGTGTTTATAGAAATAAAAATTTGAAACTAATATGACTGGTTAAATTTTGAGTTGAGGGAAAATGTCTTGCTCAACTTGTGATATTAATTGGAAAGTTCTCTAGTAGTTCAGGGTCCCTAACACAAGAGGTCGTAATTATTCACGAGAATTTCATCTGACAGGTTCCAGTTAGTTTAGCTTCTAAACATGAATGGCGCGATAGATCATATCCTAGATCAAGCTTTGAAATATAGTTTATATAAAAACCTCGAAACTTTTTCAAGGCTTATGACGTTACTTAATTTTATTTGTGTTTACAATACTCCCAGGCGTGTACGTGTGTGAGAGTGTGCGTCGTTACACTCGTCAGTGTACATCCGACCAGCTGTTTAAGCGCGTCACTTCCTCTCACTTTCACTCTCGCTACACTCACCTCTCAGATAGCCCCTGCCCATACATGCTTGTGTTTTCTTTACTTGCCTCCCAGTCCTTTTTTTAATACACTTTGTATTTTAATAATTCAAATTTTTACACCACATTCTTTAACCCCAAAGTTAAATTCAAATTCTTTCCGTATCTTATTTATTGACAAAAGTAAATATTCATTTTTTTGTTCACTTCCACTCAATGATTTTCCATTCTTCACATTTTTTCAATTCATTCGTAGTATCTAATTTTTTAATTTTATCTTCTATTGTCATAATTTAACGAAATTTCGACCCCACGTAGAATTTAATTTTATTTTTCCTTGTGTTACAGATCCAATTGAAGAAATTTCGGACATTTTTCGCACATTTTATTCACAAGTTTTAATCCTCAAGCTTTTTTTGTGATGCCTACGTTAATTTTCAATAAGTGAGGTTTTTGTTCAATCTTATATTTATATTATCTTTTCATAATTTTTGCATGTATCCCACAACTTCATTACGTATCTCTCCACTCTTTCACTATCCCAACGCTCTCTCGCGTGTTCCAATCCTTGTATATCAATCTAACACACGTATCCCACCAAACTCACGTATCATGCTACTCCCTCGCATTTACTGACAGTTAGCTTTTTTTTCAACACTCTCTCGTGTATCCTAATCCTCACGTACCAATCCTATCAACATATCCCACAACTCCACTCCGTATCCTACCACTCGTGTCCTATCACTCCATTGCGTAGATCAAAATTTAACATTTCTCCTATCTCCACACCTTTTCACATTTCCCTTCACTCCATCCCGTATTCTCTATTTTACGCGTATCTAACCGCTTTTCCGAAGTTAAAAAATTCGCCAATTAAACTTATTCCGCATACCTTTTCCAATTTATTCCTTGCGTACTCTTCTCCTTAAAATATCCTACAATTAACTTACGTACGGTATCTCACTCACCCTTCTCGTATCACACGAGTTCCTCTCACAATCTCACTCACGTTTATACGTGTCCGCCCGCTCGCTCGAGTACCGCCACACTCCAACATACATCCCCTAACCCCCTCGCGTATCTCCCCGCCATGTATTCCTCCTAACGTATATAAACTCTCCCCAGCAATGTCACTGACCCCTCACTCTCACAGACTCCCCACGAAACCCCCGCGTCTACCCCGAGTTCAAGTAGTCCACCCCCCGTTTTTTGATGTATCTACCTCTGTGAAACTACTTATTTAGACACATTTCTAGCCCGCCGGTTTGTGTTACATCTTTTCTTACCTTAAATTTTCCATGATTGTTAAGAATTTGATGGCTACTCTTTCAGTAGCCAAGTTTGGGCTAATGTTTTTAATGGTTTTGACTCCTCCCAGGGCTGCCCCTGCGTAGCCCGTAGTCCTGCCGACGGTCTAGAGCAGACCGCGAGAACTGCTCCTCGACGCCGGTTCAGCACAACCGCTGTGGTTGTGGTGCTGTCTCGGTTGCGAGAGCGGGAGAGTGTGCTCTGGTTGTGTTGGTGACGTGCTACCGCAGTGGTTGCTGTATTTTCTTGGTTGCGAGTTCGAGGATGGGTACGCATCTGGTGCTGGCTCCGTGCTACCTCTTTGGTTATGGTAGTTCTAGTTCGATGGTTGCGAGCGTATGTGAGGGCGCACTGGTTGTGATGATGTACTACCGCATCAGTTGTGGTGCTCTCTTGGTTACGAACGCGAGTGAGTGCGCAGTTGTGCACTGGTTGTGATGTTAACACACTACCGCAGTGGTTGGGGTGCTTCGATGGTTGCGAGCGTTAGGGAATTTGCACTGCATGGTTGTGCTGGTGTCGTACTACTGTATACCTTTGTGGTTGTTCAATGGTTGTGAGCGTTAGGGGGATTGCACTGCTTGTGATGCTAACGCACTACCGCAGTGGTTGTGGTGCTCCTATGGTTTTGGGAGCATTAGGTTATGGTCGTGCGGGTAAGATGGTTTGGTTGTTATCAATGTTCGTGTAGGCTTATAGCTACATTAGGCAGTAGGATTGTTATATATGTAAGGCTTGGTGGAGATGTTTTGGTCGCGTAATTGCTTTTTGCCATGTATGTAGAGAGGCCCACAGGTTGAGGTAACGTATTATTGTGGCGAAATATTGTAGTTTCCCCGTACATGCTTCAATTATTTATATGTATTTTAGACGGGCAGAACATCTACTTTTGTACTGTGGCTGTTTTATTGTGTTGACGAAAAACATAAAACGTCTACAACTGATTGAGCGTTATTTGATTAATTAGTTACGTCTGGTCATGAATTAGCTCAGTAGAGTAAAATTATCAGCTCAACTTACATACAAAAATTAAATGCTTCCACGAAGTTTCATTAGGATTACTTTCTCATGGGTTACGCAAAAGATACGTGAAGTAACTCCAGCGCAAGTAACTCTTTAAGTGGTTAATACTCCCTACCAAAAGCAGGTTTTGATTTGTCTCATTTAATATTATTAAATAATAATTACCTACTGGTAATTCGTTAACTCATTTGAATATCAGGTTAAATTCAGTACAAGGCGTCCGCGGTTGGCATTTTTTTAATTGGCTTCGCACGTCCTTATTGGTTACTGTTACTGTTGTTCATAAAGCAAGCCACGATATTGATTGTTTCGGCACAGTTAAACTTTTGCGATCAAACGATGCTATCAACCATGTATAATTTGTTATTTGTAGGGACATCCAATGTTAAACTTGGTTGTAATTAGGTAAATTTTCAAATTTTCTAAAAAATAAATTCTTTCGTAAACATCCGAACTACTTCTAAATTGACTTTTTCTTTCTTCGTTAGTTCACTAACCTCACTACGCTTTGTCCTCAAACGTTTGGGTTAAAACTCACGGATCCCTACTCTTAAATACACTTTTCTCTCTCGATTAATTTTCGTCTAAATCCCTCTTTGCGTGTAACTTAGCTTATAGCGGTGCTGAACCAACTTACCGCAATAAATTCATTGCAAATTGGATTTGATTTGAGTTTCAGTATTAAGTAGGCCTAGTGCATCGATTGTTGTTTCAGTGAGGCGTTATGGTAATGAAATGTTTTCTTATCTATAGTGTGTAGTGACTTTTCCGAAACATATTTTTACTGTGACTTTCGAGTACATGAACGTCGCGGCAAAGTTTCTCTCGTTCGAACCAAAATTGTGCCCTGAAAATTTCACTGATTTGCTATCGGAAAACCGGCCGGATTCAATCTTCTAGTAACCGCTGGCGAAGATTTCTAAAATACGTACCAACGTTAATCATTCGAGCTGCATCATGGCTCAGCCGAACCACGCTGCGCGAAACAAAAAGGTAAGTAGAGATCAATTAGATTATAATGAATTTTCGTTCTAGTTGACAGTAAACAATGATCTATATTTATGCAGAGTCGTGGAGCGGATTTAATAATATTACTGAAATTGAACATGCATCGCGGTACCAATATTGAATCAAGGGTTAATTAAATTGAGATCCGAATGAAATGTAAGTGAAATTGAAAGGGAACGTTTGAATCTCTATTATACGCCAAAAATGTTTTCATATAAGCTCCGACTAACATTTTACCGGCAGAAATTTGACCGAATGCAGAAAAATCATAAACATCAGTCTTGAGTAACGAAATGAGGATATAGGTACATAAATAAAATATTATAATATTACAGGAATAACAAGCGACAAAACGCAATAACATGTAAACGACGGCAACTAAATTTAATAATAATGATTAAAAAACCAAGCGTCGCCAGCAACCAGATTTACAGTTTTAATCTTTCACCGAATTGTCCGAAGGATGACAGTTTCTCATCTTTTAAGTGCGGAATACTGGCTATAAACTCCAGGATTTTTCGTACGTCCAGTTATACTTTTAACTCAATAGAAAATAAGGTAAAATTTGCATCAGTGATCAACGAAAGGTATCAGTTTGTTTCATTTGATGGAAAACATTGTAATGCCGCTCGAAGAGAGAAACCTTGGACACAAATGAGGAAAATATAAATAGGCGTTTCAGCTGGTATTGGGCGTTCCATCTTCTGGTGAGCAAGCTATATTAGAGACTGGCTTTAAGCCATCGGTTGAAGTAGAGCTATGAATTGAGTGATAAGTAAAATTATCACTTGATATCCTAGCATATTATTATTAATGTGTCCAGTCCCTCTCCCAATGACGATTTAGAGTTATATTCTAGGAATTAAAGTTCACAAGAACAAAATAAAAGCGATTAGTTGTAGGTTCGATCTTGGCAGCCAACTGTGAATAGTTTCGGTCGCAGTCGGTAAGGTGACCTGGCGGCTAAGCCAACAATATTGGACAGTGAGTTGCGTGTTCGAGACCCTCGGCAAGCTGTGAAATTTCTACGATGTTCAGAATCGGCAGCTGCCCTGCAGGCCCGTAGTTCAACTCTGTCTCTTTGGGCTATTAATAAGGAGAGTGCGTGAAGAAGCTCAAGCACAAAGCTTGAATTAAGCAACGAAAAACACATAGCCTACATGCAATACAAAATAAGAATAGAAAATTAAGATTATTGGATACTGATGTTGGCTGAGCAATGGCTAGATTAGGCTATGACTGTCTTTATTCTACGTACGATAGTCTATTGATGTAGACTTTTTAGCGAGATACACGATGCAAATGGACCAATTTTTAGCTTTATGCTAATAAATATGTTTTATCCTTAAAGGTTGCATGCAATAATATTAGCAGTTTGCTCGTGGTGAAACTTAGTCATTAACAGTTTGAAATAAATCGCGATTCGTCGTCACTCACCAGATCACTTGGCGAAAAACGAGTACGTTACCTAATTATAATTTTCCAACCCATAATTTTTGGTAATATTTTCATATAGGTATATTGATACCTCTTGGTATATGGCATTATTAAATGAATTTATTAATTATCTTGGTGATAAAATGAATGTATATATTGCGAACAAATTCGGAAACGCCCGGAAACAGGGTCAGGGAGCAGTTGCACAGAATTAAAGCAGTTTACGATCGAATAACATTTTTTACTTATCCTCATAAAAAGTATGAAAACATAGGGCTGACTATTTTATATTTTTCTTCTCAGCTCGGCAAGTAATTTATGTTTAAATTCTTAATTCTCTAGTTTATTTAAATTAAATTCTGATCTGCAATTGTTAGATAGTATGAACATGAGTGAATCAGTCAATGTTTTAGCAGTCTCAATTAAGTGAAATAAATTTAATCTATCTGCAATATTTTCACTGGATTGGGATGGGTTACAATTATATAAATTAAAACTTTAATGTTGTGTAGAGAGAAATCTTCGATATTTTCATAATTATTACAATATATTTTAATTCGCATTCGGTAATATCTTGGATTATTTTCAACATTCATGAGTATTTGGGTGAGCATTTCGAATAGTCTTGGTGAAGAATGTCACATGCACCCTTATTCTATAATTTTTAATAGATTCTATTGTTTAATTAAAATAGATTAATGATTTATTCAAGAGATTTGGACTCTATATTCTTAGAAAATATTCATTACATTTTTAAAGGCACAATATTGTTAGCGTTTTAATACGAGCTTCCATAATTGACTGCACACATAAGCCACGGAAACTTCTGGATTGCATTCACAGCATCTGAGGAAAACTACGTCGTAAGCTTCTCACATTTTCGTACCAAATTCTGCTTTTCCACGTTTGTATCCGGTGGTTCAACGGACCTCTCTCTGTTCCGTACGGGGAAATATTGTTGGAAGAATTGGCAATTTTTCCTGGATTTATGTTTGTTTACTATGATAGTAATAAGATGGCTCACTGTATGAATAATATATGTCAATCAATGATGGAATCACTGCATAAAATGCATATACCACAAAGCATTGCTTATGTTGAGTAATGCTGGAGCAAGAAATATTGAGATTTTGGAGGTTGCGAGGCTGTCACGGCCATACGATTGATTTTGTTATGTGCCTGCCTCTTCCTTTACAGTGGTTCTTGCGTAATGCTTAGGATATATTTCCAAGTGTTATAAGTGCTTGATAATTTTGTCTTTTGTTTGTTTTATTTTTTATATAATAATAGCGACATGAAATGTAGAAATAATACTGATGCCTGAATGGACTCTCCCGAGTGTATAACTGATAACTGCAATAAATATACTATTTGTAGAGTGTTGATGTGATAAATTCGATAAAAAAATTTATCGAGGGAGAAACTGATGCATGCATTAAACAAATTTGTCGAGTGTGGGACATGCATGCAATGAATATAATTTTCAAATGTTGAACTGATAAATTCATAAAACATATTTATAACCCTTCTGCATATTTTATTCGTAGAATAAAATAATCTGTTTTAGGATTAATTAACGTCCACCTTAATATTTTATATGGATATCGCGTTAATACGTTGTGCAAGCAACAGCGACGCTGAACAAGATGATACCTCGTCATCGTCATTCAGGCATTTGCTCGCTGTAATCAATTGACAAAAAGAAAAAAAAAAATATAACTCAGTACTCACTGCAGTGAGTGACAGAGAGCGCATTTTCTCGTCGACGAAAACTTGAGGTCACGGACAGACGGACAGACAGACAGACGGACATGGCGAGCACAATAGTGCATTTTTTTCCATAAATGAGAAAATGCGCTAAAAGAGAAAGACACTGAACAACTTTAGCTGGACATTAACGCTCACTCAAACTTTGTATCCGTTCGTTAAGTTTGCGAATTGGTTTAGCAATCAAGTCTGAACCTCATTCATAATACTGGTTCTTACTCATCAAGAAGCTCGGCCGAAGCATTTCCTCCAACGCCGCTTAATGTAAATAATCTGTCAGTTTAAATACTATAAAAGAAGAGCTCATTTTAGAAGAGTTGAATTCACCTCTGCCAATGTCGTATTTTTTATTATTCTATGACTAGGATTTGACTAGGATTCTGTGACTATAGGATTCCGCAGCAAATTTGGCAAGTTAGTTTTTAAACAACTTGCTGATGCTATTGGATGAAGAATTTTTGATTCTTGAGGTAATTTTAAGTACCTACCAATTTCTTGCACGTTATGTATTACAACAATGTTTATCTGGATTCTAGCCGCTAATTTTTTTGTCTGCTTAGACGAATCGAAAATCGTTAATCAAGTCGAGATTTTTGTGTTGAAAATTGCTTTATATTTGCCGGCTCAAATTTGAAAGTTCGAAATGGCATTAGAGATAACTTATCCTAGCGTGCAAATTTCAGCGGCTAATAATCTCAAGACTGGCAGATAGAATAGAAATAGGCCCATGGCCTGTTGCCGATTCTTGAACTTTTCGTGACTTGATTCACAAGGGATCCGGCCTTTGGAACCCGATCTTTCCATAACTGACGATTGATTGAGATAGCTGCTGGACTTATTGCCTGCTCCGTAATTTGCTAGGCATTTTAAGACTGAACATATGCTCCTGCATAGCTTCGTCTGGACTTATTGCCTGGTCCGTAATTTGCTAGGCATTTTAAGACTGAACATATGCTCCTGCATAGCTTCATCTAGTCTGTTCTTGAAGATGTTGAGTAATTTGGTAGTTTTGCTCACGCGGTGTTGCACACGCAACATTTGTGATGTAAGACTGAACATCTAATGCTAAAAGGGGTCGTCTGTGTTGAGCAGCTAGGATAGGGAAAAAAATGCAGTCATGCAGTCAATAATTATCATACAATGCAAGGAAAAATTGACCAAAGCGATAAGCTTTAATGTTTATTTAAAGGTTGCTTTATCAAGGCCACGCAGGACGTATCAGAGGTTAGGTTTTCCTATAATGCATTCTGTTGCGTATACACAGGAGACGAACGATGATGTCTTAGTAGACGACCGCCGTATTGTTCAGAGGAAGAAGCTCAAGATCTTCCTGCAAAAATGAATTATTTCCTGTAAATTGCGGTACGATGGCGAAACTGTACGCTTGTTAGCTTATTATTATTATTTTTTTTGTGGTCACTTGTAGTCATTTTTTTAGCCACTTAGTGATGCTGAAGTTCATAGGAATGGTTGGAACAACAGAAAAGAATACGTGGCTTGCAAGAAATTTTTTTATTTTTTTGTTCAAGTAAGGTTACGATGAAAGCATTCTTTTCATCGAAATGTAAAACTTGGTACGTAGCGATTGTATTTTCTAGTGAATAAAATCTCATTGTCAATCTTAAATGATTACAAAACATAAATTAAGATTACTTATAATTTACCTATCATTATAGTTTACTATCGCTCAAAAACTCTGGATACAAATTTTTTCTTGTGTTCTATAAATGCAAATTTGATCTTTTCTCGACATAGGCCTATACGAAAAGCTAGAAAAAGTA